CCGACTCTTCGTGACCTCATGGACCAGCCCACGCCAGAGCTCCTTGTCGGCCGTTACCACCCCCAGCTCCCTCAAGGTCAGTCCAGTCACTAGATCCCATAAAATCTGGAGCAAATTGATCACCCCACTGACATGAGAACTGTCAGCCAGTCCTTCCTTGAAATCTGGGGAATTCTCCCTGGAGATGGCTTTCTGCCACTGTCTCTAAACTCACCGGCTTGGAAAGGCATTTTACTGATCATTGATATTGCGTCCCCCCTGCTGATGTGATTTTGATGATGCACATTTAGTTTTGACTACTATAAATTGCCCTGAGTCCTTATTATAAAAATAAATTTGAATTATTTTAAATGGAGTCTAGATGTGCCCATATTCTCTTCTTCAGGAATTAGAGGATGACAATCTCCTCCTCCTCCAGCTGCTCCTCTTCTTTTTCTTTTATGGAACTCAGAATGTAAAATTCTGTTTTTTCAAACTCCAATCCAGAAGTCAAGACCTCAAAATTTCCTCTAAATTTTTTGTCTGGAGATAAATTTATCTTGCCTAGTTGGGCAACCCTGGGCAAGTCACATATTCCTAACTTCAGAAAATCTCATGATAGGGTTGCCTTAGAAAACAACATAAAGGCACAATAAGAAAATGTTGTGTTTAAACCTGCTCTTGGTTTCATGGTTTGAAAAGTAGATTGTTGCTGTGGTCTGTTTTTATGTTTGACGCATTTAATATGAATGTTGATTGTGCTGCTTTGCACTCTTGCTATTGTTTAATTTTAAATAGTAATAATGTAATGCGGCGGCATCATTGAGATCAATTCATGTGAGCAGTAAGGTCACTAGGTTAGGTGCCTTCCTCATGGCACGAAAGACCTCCTTTCATACCAGACCACAATATTGCAGCTGAAATGCCAGAAAATTTTACAAAATCAGCAACTACAAAAAAACAGGATCATCAAAAACAATAGTGTGTAATACAGGCAGTTGAAACCATATGACCTTGAAATAAATTATTTTGTATACACTTTGCACTGGATTACATGAGTCTACACTGCCAGATGATCCAGTTCAAAGCAGATAATCTGGACTTTAAACAGCTGTGTGGAAGGGGCCTATGTGGTCTTTCAATTCTCCAACAATATTCTTTTGATTTCATTGTGACACTGTGATGGACGTAACATTTTAATTAGGTTTATTCTAGTTTTTGACATTAATGGCTCATCAACCTAAGTTTGCTTTTGCTAACAGTGCAGGCTTCTTGCTCAAGGTCATCCAATACTAATGCAGTATTGAGATATCAAACAATAGTACTGTGTGTCATTTTGTAAAAAAAAAAAAACACCAAACAAACCTGTATATGAAAATATTCAACCATGACTGGCTTCTGAAATATGTATGGCACTTTTAATGAAAGAACTGAGGCCCCATCAACACTGTCATATAAAATCCAGATTATCTGCTTTGAACTAGATTATATGGCACTGTAGACTCATATAATCCAGTTCATAGCAGATAATATGGATTATCTGATTTGATAATCTGGATTATATGGCATTGTTGATCCAGCCTGAGCGCAAGGCAGCCAAAGTTATTTTGTACAGTAGAAAACCTATTTAACAAGTGGTTATCCTTGTTAATTAAATTAGTAGTGTGCTGTTAAAATGGCTTGCTGTGGCATTAATCAGATCCACTTATTTCTTCTAATTTTCCTAATGCATCTAATCAAGTCTTTGTGCAAAGGGTATACAAAATGATTGATTTCAGGAAGACTGATGCTGCTGTGCGCTTTCAAGTCATTTCTGATTTATGGAGACCCTAATGCGACCTTTGACGGGTATGTGTGCCTGGAGCTGAGTTGCCTAAGGTCACTCCTGGTGCACCCACACTGTAGGATTAATGCAGTTTGACACCACTTTAACTGCCATGGCTCAATGCTATGGAGCCCTAGGAGACATAATTTGGTGAGGCACCAGCCCTCTTTGGCAGTGAAGGCTAAAGATGCTATAATATATATGTTCAGAATTCCATAGCATTGAACCATAACAGCAAAAGTGGGATCAAACTGTCTTAATTTGACAGTGAAGATCAGGCATGAGCAAACGTTTTTGCCTTGGGGCTGGATGGGGGGTTGAGTGAGAAGGTTGTAATGTATTTTTAGGTTTTTTAAGTCTCTTCTGCTGTGTTTTTAGTGTTTTTATGAGTGATGGTCACTCGTTGGCCTGATAAGTGCATTGTGTCCAAATTTGGTGTCAATTCGTCCAGTGATTTTTGAGTTATGTCAATCCCACAAATGAACATTACATTTTCTCACCCTGGTCATTCCAGATATATAAACCCTTTTTCCTAGTTCCAACAGACCTCACTACCTCTGAGGATGCTTGCCATAGATGCAGGCGAAATGTCAGGAGATAATGCCTCTAGACCAGGGGTCCTCAAACTAAGGCCTGGGGGCCGGATGCGGCCCTCCAAGGTCATTTACCCGGCCCTCACTCAGGGTTAACCTAAGTCTGAAACGACTTGAAAGCACACAACGACAACTACAACAAAGCCAAAAGCAGGCCCACACTTCCCACTGAAATACTCCTAAGTTTATATTTATTAAAATTGTTCTTCATTTTAATTATTGTATTGTTTTTAAGTGGGGTTTTGTTTTTTGGTTTTTTTTGCACTACAAATAAGATATGTGCAGTCTGCATAGGAATTCATTCATGGTTTTTTTGTTTTTCAAATTCTAATCTGGCCCTTCAATAGTTTGAGGGACTGTGACCTGGCCCTCTGTTTAAAAAGTTTGAGGACCCCTGCTCTAGACCATGGCCATATAGCCCGAAAAAACCTACAACAACCCATTACATTTTTATTTATATAGATAGATTCCCATCCAAACCCAAGTATTATTATTATTATTATTAACTTTATTTGTACCCCGCTAGCATCTCCCAAGGGATTCGATGCGGCTTACACAGGCCAAAGCCCAAAACACAATACAACAATACAATACCTAAGCAAATAAAACAGTTAAGCAGGAAAACAATAACAGTAACAATACAACAAGACATTATTAAAACTGGGCCGACTGGAGTAGGGGTACAGGATTAAAAGTGCTGATGTGGCGGGAGGAATATAGGATTATAATATAAGTACAGTGTGCAGTGTGCAGCGATCTTGGTTCTACTAAAGTGCTTCTAGGATTTGGTAGTGGGAGATTCCTAATCTGAAAAGGCACATTGGAACAGCCAGGTTTTCAGATTCTTTCTGAAGACTGCCAATGTAGGGGCTTGTCTGAGATCTTTCGGGAGGGCGTTCCAGAAGGTGGGGGGCATTACTTTTCATTCAACTCTCGTATAATAGTTATTTAAATTAATTTTTTTTAATCATCTTGCCAGGAAGAACTCTCCCTGAGCAAGCTTGTTTTCTGCTTCCCTGGAGACTAGGACGCGGAACAATGGCTTCAAACTACAAGAGAGGAGATTCCATCTGAACATTAGGAAGAACTTCCTGACTGTGAGAGCCGTTCAGCAGTGGAACTCTCTGCCCCAAAGTGTGGTGGAAGCTCCTTCTTTGGAAGCTTTTAAACAGGGGCTGGATGGCCATCTGTCAGGGGTGATTTGAATGCAGTATTCCTTCTTCTTGGCAGGGGGTTGGACTGGATGGCCCATGAGGTCTCTTCCAACTCTTTGATTCTATGATTCTATGAGGCACCAGCTCCTTTTGGCAGAGAAGGTTGAAGACCTTGTAAAAACCACAACTCGCAGGATCCCATAGCACTGAACACTTATTTATTTTTATTTTTATTTTTTGGTAGGCCCGACAGGCCTCCAAAAATTGTTGTTTATTCGTTCAGTCGTAACCTCATGGACTAGACCATGCTCGATCATTTATTTATTTACTAGCTGCCCTCTGCCACGCGTTGCTGTGGCCCACATGGGGGTTCTGTGTGGGAGGTTTGGCCCAATTGTATTGTTGATTGGGTTCAGAATACTCTGTGATTGTAGGTGAACTATAAATCCCAGCAACTACAACTCCCAAATGTCAAGATTCTATTTTCCCCAAACTCTACCAGTGTTCACATTTGGGCAGATTGAGTATTCGTGCAGAGTTTGGTCCAGATCCATTATTGTTTGAGTCCACAGTGATCTCTGGATGTAGGTGAACTACAACTCCCAAACTCAAGGTCAATGCCCACCAAACCCTTCCAGTGTGTTCTGTTGGTCATTGAAGTCCTGTATGCCATGTTTGGTTGAATTCCATCATTGGTGGAATTCAGAATGCTCTTTGATTGTAGGTGAACTATAAATCCCAGCAACTACAACTCCCAAATGTCAAAAAGTCTATTTCCCCTAAACTCCATCTGTGTTCATATTTGGGCATATGGAATATTCGTGCCAAGTTTGGTCCAGATCCATCATTGTTTGAGTCCACAGTGCTCTCTGGATGGAGGTGAACTACAACTCCCAAACTCAAGATCAATGCCCACCAAACCCTTCTAGTGTTTTTTGATGGTCATGGGAGTCCTGTGTGCCAAGTTTGGTTCAATGCCGTAATTGGTGGAGTTCTGAATGCTCTTTGATTGTAGGTGAACTATAAATCCCAGCAACTACAACTCCCAAATGACAAAATCAATTTTTTGAGTGAAGGACATACATTGGGTTATTAGGTGTTTTGTGTCCAAATTTGGTGTCAATTCCCCCAGTGGTTTTTGAGTTCTGGTGGTATCACAAACGAACATTACATTTTTATTTATATAGAAGATAGATAGATTCCCATCCAAACCCAAGTAACGAAGGTGGGGGCATCATATAATAGTTTGTTTGTTTTTTAATCGTCTTGCCAGAATGAACTCTACACATGTTCAGAGGGAATCCGCTCCAGAAAAGAAAAGAAGGGGGGAGGGCCTTTCTTTGAAAGCAGAGGGAGGAGCCGCCTTTGCTTTGAATGGCGCTGGGCTGCCAAAGAGGCTCCTGCAGCAGCAGCAGCAGCAAGCAGTAGCAGCGGAGGGAGGAGGAGGAGGGAAGAGCCGAGTAGTGCGCGAGGAGCTTGGAGGGAGGGGCGCGAGGCCTGCCTGCCTGCCTGCTCGCGCGCCCGCCGGAAGTGAGCGCCGCCGCTGCCGCTGTGCCTTTTTCTGTGGCAGGGAAAAAAAGCCCGGCCGGCGGCTGACTGACTGAGTGACTGACTGAGGAGGAGAAGGAAGGGGAGTCTCCTCAGGAGGGCCTCCAACGAAACCGGGGCGCCGAGAGGAGAGAGAAAGAAAGAAAGAAGAGTAGGAGGAGCCGCCGCCACAGTGAGTGCCCGCTTCTCCGTCTTCCTTTCCCAGCAAAGCCGCCGCCACCACACCTTCTCCCACCACCATTTTCCCAGAGTCCCGCCCTTCTTTCAGGAGGAAGGGAAGGGAAGGAGAGGAAGGGGGGTGCCTTTTGCAGTGTCTCAAAGGGGGGTTGTGTGTGGAGGCTCTGCTTGTGCCTGAGGGGGTGAGGGGGGTCTCCTTTGCTGCCTCTCTCTTTCTTCCTGGGCCTCTGAGGGGGGCGGGAAGGGAGAGTCTCCTCTGTGTCCATGGATTCTGCTTCCTCTGGTTGCTCCCTTGCTTTCCTTCTAACCCTGTGTTTGGGAAAGAGCAGTAGTAGTATATACTACACCTTGAGGTTTGGTTCTAGGGTCAGAACCCAAGTCTCCTTGCTTACAACGGTGTATTAAAATGGTCTCCCTTTCTACAGAATGTCACAACATTAAGGACCCCTACCACACAGCACATTCTTTTCCATATGACAATGTGGACTCAGATAATCAAAGTGGATGATCTGCCTTGATATCCTGGGTTATATGGCTCTGTGCCTGCTGTTCTTTTCAAGCCGTGGATATGGAGGAGCGGGTGTTGAGAACGCTTCGGCTTTACTCCACCCTAACTAAGCTACTCCTTCAGATCCATGAGTGAAGGAGGCATAGACAAGCCGGGTCTGTGTGAGAGTGTGTGTGTCTGAGGCTAGTGGGAGGCTCCCCGTCTCTTGCTCTATTTGAGGTGCAAGGAGGGGAAGGGCAGGGCTGGGTTGTGTGCTGGGTGTGTATCTGTATGGAAATCTTTGGATCGCCAAGCAAGGAGCCAACCATTGGGAGAAACGAGGAGGGGGCAGCTCTCATCCAGGCTGCATGAGAGGAGGGGAAAGGGTGGGCTTGCGACAGAAAAAGCAGCATCCCATCCCTTGGATCCACCCTGTCTCTGGGCCCTGCCACACAGCCAGAAAATCAAGGCAGATAATCCACAGTGTATGCTTTGAACTGAGTTATCTGAAGCCCCTTCCACACAGTTGAATAAAATCCCACATATATGGCAGTGTGGATTCAGATAATCCAGTTCAAAACAGATATTGTGGGATTTTCTGCCTTGATATTCTGTGTGGAAGGGCCCTCCGATAACCCAGTTCAAAGCAGATAATGTGGGGTTTTATTCACATTTGTGGAAGGGGCCGGAGTCCACACTGCCACATAATCCAGTTCAATGTGGATTTTATACAACTGTGTGGAAGGGGCCTCTCTTTCCTACTGGAATCAGTTAAGCACCAGCTGTGTGAAGAGGGGGGGGGGGGAAGGAAGGGTTGGTCTGCAGTCCTTGTTAGCCCTCCCCTCTGAAATCTCCCTCAATAGCATTCTCCAGGATTGCTGTCAAATAGGCAGAGATTTGTGTATAAAAATAGGAAAGCAAATATCACTGAGCCGAAGCTTCGGCATCAATTTAAGGCTGCAAGAGGAAGGATTGTGTCTGAATGCAGGGAGGCATTCAGACAGTTGTCAGTTCCAACAGACTCCACCCCATAATCCCTCTCTACAGGCATATGCAAATCCGTGTGGAATAATTCATGAACGCTCAACAAATTAAGAACTGGGTGTTAAGGGCTACCAAGTGTTGATTGGTGTGAAATCAATGTTTCCTTTTGAAATGTGGATAATTCGAAGTATAGTGGGCTGACGTGTGAGTGAGGAATCTTGCAGGCACAGCTGGTGGCTTCCATTAAAATGAAGAGAGACTAGGAATGTGTAGTGGAAATAGGACTGTTGCTATTCCAGAGAGTCTATTTTGTTGGAGATGATTGCCCAGCAGTATTTGTTCTTGGCAACCTAGCCTTTTTTTAAGATTGTCTTTTTTGTACAAGAAGAAATCAAACCATTTAATGTGATTTGTGTCTTTTCTTAATTTACACCGGTGCCTTAAGTCTAGTTGTGTAACATAGAATATGTTAAAGTCTGGAGATTCTGTAAGGCTACCGAATATATTTGAAAGTCTGAAAGTAAATATTTTGCACAATTTCTAATATTTCAGTGATACTGTTTTTAATAAATTTTGTATGGCCAATTGACTCCAAAAGAGACAATTAGAATTGAGTGTATTGGGATGAATGATGATATTTCAAACTGATAAGACTAATCCAGAACAAAAGGAATTTCACCCCAGATGGGCCATAATTAGATTATCACATTTTTCTAGTTCATTTGTAGCTAATAATATGTGATTACACTTTTAACAAATATCCATTTTGATTATTAAAATGGGGCTCATTTTAATGAAACCAAACATGTGTAGCAAGACACAGAGAAGTATCCTATGTGAATAGTTTGTTTCCTCTGCATGTAGCCTGTTAAATTATAACTTTCTGCATGCTGAACAAGCCCTTGTAAATGAAAGAGGTTGAGAAGTAGAAGAATGTGGAAAAATGCTGAATCAGAATAAAGGGTCTTGGTGTCTTTTCTCCAATGACTAAATGGAACTGTGTTGGCTGTTCATGTGCCAGTTTCTCTTTAGGGGTATGCATGCAGAATATAGAGCTAATTGCTTTAGCATGCTTCAGTTGGCATGTAGCTCTCCTATGTATGTCACACTGGTTCCTGATGGAGTTTCCAAGAACAAGCAAGTATAAGGCGACAGTTCTTGGGAAGTATTTTGCTATCTGTGACCTTTTGCATATGAAGAGGCAGTATTGCTCAGAATTGAGCTGTTATCCTTTTTTGTTTGTTTGGCAGCAAATTAAAAACCACATTGAGTCAACATGTCCATACATTGGCTGTGATTATAGGAATCAATTCTGGATTCTACCCTAACTATATGGGTATTCAACTGTTTGTTAATTTTGTTTGTTGAATTAATATACTCAGCATATTAATACATTTAAACTATATGTGTCTTGTAATTATCCTGTCTTTGATGGGGTTATTTATTGGCAGGAGAGAATGTCATAAATATGAGAATATACTGTATGTAGTGATTAGGAACAAGTGCATCCTTCTTCAAAGGGCAGTTTGGAATTGTTATAAATTGATATAGCAAGAAATGGGGGACAGCCAATTAATACTGGGTGCTGAGGCTATATTTTAGAAGAAGGACCTAGTTAAACTACCTCTGAGGATTCCTTGCTTAAGAAAATCCTGAGAGGTCCATGAGGCCGTTGTAAGTTGACTGGTGACATACATCTTTTCTCATATTCATAATTCTTCAAAGATTAATAGAACAAACATAGGCTAGATCCAAAATAATTGCTCTATAGTTTAATACTTTTCCCCTAGTTTCTCATCATAGAATAATAGAGTTGGAAGAGACCACATGGGTCATCTAGTCCGACCCCCTGCCATGCAGGAAAAGCACAATCAAAGTACCCCTGACAAATGGCCATGCAGCTTCTGTTTAAATTAGGTTCCAAGGAAGACGCTTCCACCACACGCCGATGCAGAGAGTAAAAAGCATGCTTCTCTTCTTTTTGCTTTTCATGTTCTTTAGTATCTTCACCATATGTTAAGAATTCTCAAATGATGTATCTTTTACTCACACATCTTTTGTTGTCATTCTTGTTGCTTTCTTATCTTTCAAGCATCGTTTCAGAACACAGCAGCATCCAGTCTTAGTGACTACAGATGTGCCAGTCACACACCCTCAAGTAGCATGGCACATACATTTCATAATGTATAGTCATTGGTTGTTCTGCCCATTTTAATTAGTAGCTATTGCTGCATTTTAATTGACTATTTTATAATAGAATTGGGCTTTTTGTGATTTTTATAAGTGTTATCTTATGTTAATTCATATTGCTGCTATCATAAATATTGATGTATTTTATGTGTTTTTATGGTACTATTGGGTGCTGTTCTGTAAGCTGCCCCAAGTCCCTTCTGGGAGATGGTGGCAGGATATAAAGTTGTTGTTGTTGTTGTTGTTGTTGTTGTTATTATTCATCTTGCAATTTCTTCATACTAAGACAAAACATTTTAATGATCATTTCTATTTATAATATGCTCTTTCACTATCCGATCCATATAAAGTTTAAAGAAGCATATCAGCAAGTTGGAGTGTGGCTAGAGAAATTTTTAAAAGATAATAAAAAGTCAGGGAACTAAATCCCAGTGTGGGATAATTGAGGAAACTGAATATATCTAGTTTGGAGAAAAGATTATTGAAACATAATAGGATAAACATGTTTAAATATCTTAAGAGCTATCAAAATGGAAGAGGAAGCAACCCTATTTTCTTTGCTTCATAAAGCATAGGACCCAAACCAGTAGATTCAAATCACAAGAAAGAAAAGTCTGATTAAACAACTTGACAAAGCTGGACTGGATTAGCTTTGAGATACCTTCTAATTCTATCATTCTGCGATTCTATAAACTTTCTTACCCAAGAGGTGTTTACCAGGCAAGTTTCAGCAGTCAGTTTTTATGTAGATTATAAGTGCTACTCTTGATATAAAACGTGTTAACTATTGTAGGTCAATCTTTGCTGTCTCTAGGGGCTTTGCTGGAGTCCACAAAAACCTAGGCTGAAATGCATGTGTCTCAAAGGTACTCTTCCTATTTTTTTTCTTATACTGAAACAGACTAACACAGTTATCTTCTTAAAAATTATACCAGGTACAGCTTGACTTTGTTGGAAAAAGTTGATCACTTACAGAAATGACCTTTATAAGGTAAAAAAGTATAAGCACTCATATAATCTGGTATTTTCTAAAACAAACTCTCTTTTTGTTCTATACTTTCATGCCATTAACTATTTTGAGAGTGTACTTTACATCACATTTTGAATTTTCAAAGATGAATGCTATGGTATCATTCTTGTCAAATTATCTGTGGCTTTATAGCCTGCCTACCTTCATCCAATTTACGCCTGTAAACTGGCTCCACATCACTGTAACATATTTATCATCTTGAGTGTCTACTTCCTGTTCTCTTTATGTGTTGCCATATTGAGCTAGTAAATTATAAATGTTTTCAAGCCAATTTATTTCTACCATCCCGTTGAATTATCAGTAT